GGGGGGGGGGGGCATGATACATGCAGTCATGAACGCGCGAGGTGAGACAGTGCGAGCTGTTTGTCGGGGCTGGCTGGGGCCTCAGGCCTGGCACTCACCTCAGCACTGGCGTGGCCAGCACCAGCATGCTCTGCAGCTGCCTGCACGCCCGCCTCAGGCCCGCCAGCCACGCTTCCTGCGCGGCCGCACCGCCCGCGGCACCCGCGCCGGGCCCCTGCCCGCGGGCCCCGGGTGGAGCCGCATGCGGGGCGGCGGGTCCACCCCATGACGCCTCCAGGACTGCTGGCGCTGGCGGGGGGGCTGCTGGTCCTGAGGGTGCGACCGCTGCAGTCGCGGGCTCGTGGCTCCCCAGGTGGCACGCGCTGTAGGCAGCCCCGAGGTCCTGGCGGTGAGTTGCGGTTTGTGGCGGTTGACGACGGTCGAGCGGTTGGCAGTTGGGGGCTGCCGGCGTAGCGGTTGCGGATAAGCGCACATACACGTGCGTGCGCGCGCGCACGCAGCGGCGCCCCCCTCGACGACGGGCCGCTCCGGCCGCCGCGGCGGCCGCCGCACGCGGCGGCGATGATTGGGCTCTGCGGACGGGTGGCGCCCTCCCCTGCCCTCCTCCCCTGTGCCCCTTCGTCATGCACTCACCTGCAGGAACGCCTCCGCCCGGCCCTGCAGCCCTTCAGGGCAAATTGCATACCACAGCACCGGCTTGACGCCGCTGACCGGGCGCAGCCTGAGCTCCTGCCAGAGGGGCAGGAGGGACGGCGGCGCCTCCAGCCAGTCGCCGCGCGCGCCGAAGCCGACGCATATCCGAGGTGGCAGTTGTTGCACGGTGGAGCGCTGCATGTTGGCGGCGCGGCCGCTGTCCGCGGCCGCTGCTGCCTCCTGCCCAGGCGCCTCTGTTTTGGGCTTGGGTGCGGGACGGAATGCGTCAGCCCCAATAACGCCGCTGCTGCCGCTGCCTGTGCTCCCGAGCGCCGCCTCCAGCGCAGCTGCGAGGCCCTCACCACTGTCGGCCCACGCGCCCGTGCCACAGGGCCCGCCGCCGCCGCCGACGCCGCTAGCGGCCCCGGCCCGCAGCAGCTGCAGCTGCCGGTCTCCCACGCACTCCGCCTGCCACGTCAGCAGCTGGCAGAGCCCGGGGTCTGGCCAGGCGGCGCGGGAGGTGGAGAAAGGCAGGTGATACGCATCCTCCAAGTCCAGGCGCCGCCGCAGCGCGTCAAGGCCCGCCGCGTCGCCGCCGCCCCAGCCGCGCCCGCCGCCGCCGGGGCTGCCGCGGGGTCGGCCGCCATCTGGGATGACCGCGGCGGCGGGTGGGGCCGGGGCCGGGGGTTGCCGAAATAAAGGGACGCGTGACGGTGCAGGTGCCGCTGCCGCTGGCTCGGTGGCGGGCTTGCCCGCGGTGCTAGAGCTAGGATCGGTAGTTGAGAGAGCGCCGTAATCAGACGTGAACAAGGCCAGCATCTGTTGCTGGAACTCGTGGTACACACCCAACCCGGCAATGTCAAGTGGATCTAGCAATGGAAAATGCACATGACTCGGTCTTCGTTATACCGTAACAGAATCATATGGCATTGATAAAATCAAATGTGGTCAGACGGTTTTGAAATGGTGCTGTGATCTCTGCCCCAGTGTTCAAAGTGTGTCTTCTACCGTACAGTACACAAAAATCTGTGACAGTATCATCTCTACAGAGCGTTGTTAAATTCTGACGCAATCACCCATGCAGATTTAGTGGCAGCGGCAACGCCGAAGATACCGCGCGTGCCGCGCTGCTCAGCTGCGGACAGCCAAACTGGCTTTGGTGCAGCGGCGGGCACGCCGACGGCGAGCATCCCGGTGCAAGCAGGCGGCCATGCGGCTGGAGTGACCTTCCTTGCATAGCAGCAGCGGCAGCAGTGACCGCTGCTGCAGCGTCACTCCTGCCGGGATGCGGGAGCCTCGCTGGGACGGCAGCACCCCGCC